GAGGATTCTTACATGTGAATAATTGAATTAATCATTCTTAACTTAAATATTTAATAAAATTAGAGATGGATTTAAAGGTTTACAGCGTTAAAAAAATAAGCGAATTTGCTAATTCTATTAGTAAGAAAAGAAAAAAGAAAGAAATTTAAAATGAATGGATTGAATTAAGTAACCACTATCCTGGACCAAGAAGGTCACAACAAGAATGAAATAATTAATCTAACTTTTGTAAATCACATGTTAAATATAGGCCGTTTGATTTAAGGTGGTAAGCTTTAAATATTACATCGTCTCCTTCCATAACAGAACAAAACAGCCTAGAGCATAGAATGGCAGGATAATGTGATTAAAGGAACCAATAATCAAATGAAAGAATATTTAACATTATGTTAATTTTATTACATTAGCTGTCTGGATTTAATTAGAGATGTGCAAATCTGGGAGAAAGCTTTTCCAGGAACTGGACATGATACCTACCACTTGAATTATTTTTTCGATGACAAAAATACCCTTACACTTATACAAAAATAACAAGATATACCAAAAGGGTCAAGCTATTCAAGGGGTACGTTGGTCAATAAAACGGTAATGTTATATATGTATTTGATTCGGTTGTCACATGGCTAGAAATTAGTCTCATGTGATCACATGCTTGAACCACCTTCCATGGAGTCAAACAAACAAAGCTTTTATCTCCCTTGACTTATCCAAATAATTAATCAAATCCCACTATCGCTAAAGCTTAAAAGATAAGCACATAACCTATTCTAAAATTTTTCGTGTTTACTGCTATTACTTTCCTTCTAAAGCTAAATCTGCCATCATAACAAGATCTTCAATTGATTGAAATTTGAACCCTTTTTTTTTCTTTCTAATCAATTTATCACAATGTGTTGTTAAGTAAACAAATTGGTTGTTTTCTTTTTTCTTTTTTCTTTCTAATACAAAAAAGGATCAAAGGGAACAAACCCTTTCCAAGAAGCTATGTTGGATGTGAGAGTTTTTATTTTTTACTAGTATTGGTCCCTCAATTTTGCTCGGTGTATTAAATTAATTTTTAGTATTTTATTAAATTAATACTTGATTGAATTAGAATTTAAAACATATGTGCAATTAATATAAAGTTAATATTGTTAAGTGTATAAAGGTTTGTTAAATTAATTGGCAAAAAAAAGTTACTATAAAACTAAATGAAAAATGTTAGATGCACATTTTGAGGTTACAAAGTTCCTAAAAAGAGCTGTTAAACAAAAACTGCAATCAAACACTTAGTTTGTAATTACAATTGATTATTGAAAAGTTTATTCATAGTGAGGATAGATAACTACTTTAAAAATGTTGTATGCTATCATAGTAAATAAATAGTAATCGCACATTTGTTGCCTTTCTCCAATGATTAAACATCTCATTTGCTAAGTTTTCTCTAAAACGAAACTAAGCATCAGTACTCTCAATATAAGTAATCCTATCATCCAACTTAGCTTGTTAAGAGCTATCTAAATCTTCACTAATATCGGACTCTATAGGATCAACGGCTATTTCTTGTCTGATGTAATTATGAAGAAGACAACAAGCACTAATGATCCTGCACTGAGTTTTCACAAGGAAAAAGGACTAATTTCTTAAAATTGTCCATCTTATTTTGAGCAATCCAAAACACCTCTTTATGACATTTCTAACTTAAGAATGCTTCATGATAAAGAACTTATGAGCACTAGTGGGCTGCTGCCCTTGCCTTCACTCATTCAATTGATACCTTTGCCCTCTAGAAGGAGTCAAAAAACCTTTCTCCATCTGTGTAACTAGTATCACATAAGTAATATTATCCTATAATATAATATAATTAATTTAATTAGTTTTGATACAATTAAATTATGTCTCTATATGATATGAAAAGTTCAATTTTACTGTGTATGAATTTTTGCAAACCTTATGGTGTACTTTTAAGCCTTTTTTTTTTTTTGGAAATGGCATTTCAAAGCACTCTAGAATCACTAGCTGAACCCTCCAAACCAGGCAAGACATAGACAAACTCAGGTGCAAACACCTAAGACATTAGTAGCAATCTCGTTTTTATGATTTCAATACCTAGGTTTGTTAACCTCATTTATGTGGACTCTCATATATGTCCCATCAAGTCCACCAAGACAATTTTACATAAAAACTCAACTTAATTTAAGATAATATTAAGACAAAAGATGTAACAACAAAATAAAAACCTTTTCTCTATTGACATATACCTTGAAACACTTCCACCTATTATTATTGCAATCCTCTATCACTGGTTCAGGTTTCCTTAACAACATGGAATAGAGACGTAACACAAAGTTGAGGACAACATGAAACCGTCAACTAATGGTTGAACCAGAAGGAGAAAATTGTCTTTTCATAACTCTATTCTTAATTTCATGTGCAATTACATGTAGGAAAATAATTACCATTTCCTTTACATCCATATTTTTAGTTGGTTTGAGTTTACCGATTGTTCTTAATAGGTAACTTTTGAAATGCTTTATTATCCATCCTTGTGTTCCTTAAGCACCCAAGATCAATATCAAATACAATTTTACCAATATTCAATGATCTAATATGATGTCTACACCAAGCATCTCCAATCTATCCTGATGAATTATGGGTCACTTTCTTTTAAAGTATAAGTATTGTTATAAATAATACGATTGAATATAATTTTTCAAATAACTTTATTTGCATAGTAAAGACAGCAAGATTTTGCAAATGTGTAAACCTTGGAAATCAAGTCATTTTGCATATAATATTTCCAAAAAGAATGCACATAAGTTATAAAATTAAATAAGTCAAAACAACCACATTCATAAAACCAAAACATTGGTATAACTTGAGAAGAAACAATTTTTAGATAATTGAATAAATAAAAAACTCATAAAGTTATAACAGAAAAAACAACCACCAACTTAAAACAAAAAAAAAAAAAAAAATCAACCACTAATTTTAACGAGATTGATGATTAATAGTATATGAAGGGATGGTTCATTTTACCTAGAAACTTCAAAAACAACACTTCAAGCTCTACAAACACCTGTCGAAAAAGAATGAAAAACTTTAAAAAATGACTAATGTAAACAATGAAAAAACTTAATAACAACTAGAAAAAAAAATGAGGGAAAAGTCACAAATCATACCTAGAGTCGGAGAGAATGGTTGATTTCTCCTCTACTTATAAAGAATGAATTTAAAAGGAGTCCTATTTTTATTCTCGCTATAATCAAGGTAAATTAGTAAAATAAAAAAAAATAGTAAAGATTACTTTCTCATAGTGATTAAACTTTCTCAACCTTTTTAGATAAGAATTAAATTACTCTCTAAAGTAATGATCTTATCACCCCAGTGATTTAACATTACTGTTACCTAAGATTCTTAATTACTACCAAACAAGATGATGCAATTGCTAAATGTAGATCACTGTGATTTTTGAACTTATCACCCCATACCAACCACACACTAAGAGAGTGCTTGGTACGGGGTGAGTAGTCTAAAAGTCATAGTAATCTGTGCACCCGATAACATCAATTTATTTGATAGCAATTTAGAAAACCTATATGGGTAGTGATCTTATTACCCCCAGTAATATAAGATTAGTAGTGATTTATAATATTACACCAACTATGATAATCTAAAATCATTGGTAATTAAATCAACCTAGTGATCTTATCATCATGATGATTAGATAGTGATAAGATCATCTTAATAATTTTAAAAACGATATCAAACACTATCTAATAATGTTAATTGTTGAAGTAGATTGATACCTAAAATTAAAAGTTTGGGCCATGTTACATTTTTTTCTTTAAATTCAAATCACTTTAAACACTTTTTTAAACCTAAAGAGTTAAATATGACATTAATCCAAATAAGAAAAGTGAGGAATTCAAATAGTTTTTTATTTTTTAAAATTAGAGGGATTCAAATATGTTAGACCTCAATCCTGTTTAATAATTATGACGTACGACAACTATTAGGGTATAAATATGGTTACTGGTTTTTTATATTAAATTTTTTATTTAATTTTGGCAATAAGAAAGGTTAAAAAGTGTTTGTAGGCATATTTATAGAGAGAATTTGTAATTAATTATTATTTGTTGTTAAATTAGTGAGAATAATGCATTAAATAAAAAATATTTTCTTGAATATAATTTAACTAACTTTAATAACTGCCTGTAAAAATCCGTTAATCAAAAATTTTTTTATTACTTATTTCAAAGTTTGCACGAGAAGCAAGAAATCTTCATGCCCAAATGCTAACTAACTATAAATATTTTTTTTCCAACTGTCAATTGTAAGATGCCAGCTTTTGGACAGGAATGCTATAGGAAATTTCTTAATTCTTCCTTTTTCTCGAGGAACAAAAAATAAAAAGGAAATAAATGATGCCTTAAATTTTGCAATTTTCCATGCAAAACCTTAAAAAAATAAAAATAAAAATTCAATTTTGTCCTTTAGTTCTTCTAGAGCGTCCATGTGCCGTTTTCAATATACTAAACACCACATTAGCTCACTTGTTTCGGCTTCACCGACCACTTAGTTTTTATAATCTCACCGTCCACTCCAATTACCAACAAAGTAACAATAACAAAACCAAGTGACAGAATAATTGGAAAAAAATAGGTGATAGAAAATGTAAATAAATAAAAAGTTTATAATAAAAAAATGTATATTTAATGTATTATAAGTGTTTAAATGCTATATACTATTAATGAATTATACAAATTTTAAAGTCTTAAAGATGAAACACATTTAATGTTAAAAATATATTTAAAATTAATTTTTTAATTGTGTAATTCACTAACAATATACAACATTATATAATGTGGCATCAAATATGAATCCCTACAAAGAAATTCTTAAAAAATATCCCCTCCCTTTATAAATCACAAATCACATGTATATCTCATCAGACAAACACACCTTACAGGCCAAACTCCAAAAATATTTTGCACTTATTGTACCCTGAATCCTAAAGAATGGCCCTGGAAGCAGTTCAAGCAACCTCTAGAACTACAATTGAGCCAATTTCAAGTCCCGGGATTTCTTTCTCTGCTGATTTCCTTGATGAAAACAACTTCATTTCCATCAACCCACTGTCTCAAAATGAAGGGAAAGAGCGAGAGAAGGATCAGAAGGAGAAAGATAAGGCAAGAGTTGCAGAATTTGAGTTCCTTTCAAGCAATGTGAGCAGCCATGCCATGTTGACCGCGGATGAGCTTTTCTTTGAAGGAAAGCTGCTACCTTTTTGGCAAATGCAGCATTCTGAAAAGCTCAACAAAATCAGCCTTAAAACAAAAGATTCTGAAGAAGAAGAGGAAGAAGAAGTTATAAACAAGGAAGAGAGTAGGGTAAATTGTTTTGTCGATGATGACCCATCTCCAAGGCCACCAAAATGTACTGTATTGTGGAAAGAGTTGCTGAGGCTGAAGAAGCAACGCCAACACGCTTCTTCTTTATCACCATCATCTTCTTCCTCTTCAACATCATCTTCTTCAAGCTCACTGGCTGACATAGTTACAGCGGAAGAAGCTGGAAAAGAAGGGTCTGGGAATAAGCATGTGAAGAGGATAAAGAAAGGGTTGGAAAGAACAAGATCAGCAAGCATTAGAATAAGGCCAATGATAAATGTGCCTATTTGCACACAAGTGAAAAGCAGTGCATTGCCTCCTTTGTTTCCCCTTAAGAAAGGAAGATTAGAGTGGTGAAGGAAACAGAATCATAGTTGAGATTGATCTGAAATTTAGGCTTGTTCAATATGTTCATTTGTTTTTAATTTCATTTTCAAAATTTTCTGTTCTTCTATGTTTAGATAAATCTTGATTATGATGATGGAAGTCGGATGTATTACAATGTAAATGTCGACTGGTATTTATTGGTTATATTATCAACAAAAATAACTTTGTAAATTTTTTTTTTTTTGGTAAAAAGGAGAAAAGAGATTGCAAATACTTGCGTTTAAAATTGAACCTTACTGGATACCGTCTGGTAAAAGTAAAGAGTGTATGAACTAAAACTCCAAGTTCAAATAACTTCATAATTTACTACTATTTTTTTACCAGCTTGAAATTTCATTTGGTCAGGCTATAATCGATTAGCAGCTAGAAAGTGAGCAGTCATACCACATGCAAAGATGCAGAGTTTTATGAATTTTCAGGGTCCCACTCTGAAAGATCAACCGAAGAAGTCTTGAATTGCTTTTGGAAAAGAAGAAAGATCTGAAAAAGTAAAATGCGTCTGATTCCCGATTTATAAATTTGAAAGATGCTTTGTTTCACTGCATCTGAGCATATAGCACCCAAGTATCCATCACAATTTCAAAACTTTTAATTTGTTTTGCTGCCATCTGCAATGAAGAATTGATGGATTTCAGAAGTATCTAAGTATCTTGGTGTAAAAGCAAATGAACCTTCACTATCTATGCTGATACGTAGATAACATTTTTAAATTTTAAAACACTAGACAGGACTCTTCTTGCCAACAAAAATAGATCTTTGATGGTAATTCGAGTAAATGAAGTTGAGTCCTTTTTCCCCTATTTTATCTTTTGAATTAGTAAAATGGTGTTTTTTATTACCCCCACAAACAGCTTGGGTTGATTCAAAGTAAATCTGAAGTTTAATTCGTTTAGTTTATACAAACATTAATAAGAGATAATATTCAATAGATTTGAATTTCATATCTCAACATCTTCTGTAACCCATTCTTCAATTCTTAAGATCCAGCCTCTTTGTAAGAATTAAAAAAAAAAAAAAAACGGTGGATTCAAGGTAAAGTAAACAAATACATATTCTGTATCTTTTGTTTTTTTTTTGTCTGGAATACATATTCTAGATTCATAAAAATTGGAATGAAATCAACAGACTGGATGTTCCAACTAGCACTTTGGAACTTGTGTATTAAAACTTTAAAATCAAAGAGAAAACAATGCTGAAACTTCCAACAAAATTTTCAAACCATCATGTTACCAATTTGATCTGCAATAAATATTGACACATAATTGAGTGAAATTGAGTATGTTGACCATTCCAGTCGTGTGTAGTTACATCTGGATGCATATACAATCTACTTAAGAAGGTGGTGGAGACAAAAACTGGCTTCCAAATCTCTTAAAACAAATAGAAGGTTTAGCTTAAGTTGACAGTTTATAATTTCAAAAAAATGAAAGCCGGAAGTTTGTAACTTAAGAATGACATGACTGGTGTATATTTATACTTACCTAAAATCCAAGTTAAGAACATAAATCATGTACAAGGCAAATTATTCGTGTTTAATTTAGATAAAATTCGAATTCATATTGGTGAAATGAATTTAAATTAGAGCAACTCGATTTATCGAGCGAACTAAGTTTAATTATCTTAATACTCAGCTTAAATAATTCAAAAGCTTAATTAAATTTTTATATTTTAATGTATATTTTTATTATTTTAATTAAAAAAACTATTATTTATCCTTATATACATATATATATATCAATTTGAAGTTAAATTTAAATATAAATAATCGAATTTGAGCCCAATATGATAATCAAATTTATTGTTTATTTAATAAACAAGTCTAATTAAACAAGTTCGAATAACTTAATTTTTATTTCGAATCAAACTCGAGCTTAATAATTAAAATTCGATCGAGTTCAAATCGAATTTCGAACAATAAATTTTGAATCGAATTCGAACTCAAATTTTTCGTTATATTGACTCAACTTTGCTTGATTATACCCCTAATCTTAATATTCCAACAAAACTATCACATATGCACTCAATCAGTTCGTTGTTTTGTAAGTATCGAAAAAACACAAAAAACTAAAAAATTCAAAACTTATCTAATTTGATTCACCTAATTATACGTCACATTTAATAATTTTAAATTTTAATATTTATAATTTTTTTATTTACGAATTTCGACCTATTTTATTAAAAAGATCTGAGGTACAGAGAATCAGAAAACATCAAATAAGTTTACCTAGCTAGTAGAGACATGTTTCAGCTTTCGTTTTTGCGTAGTGATATTGACAAGTGAATTCGAATCAGAAAACATCAAATAAGTTTACCATAGTTCCACTGAAATGGTTTTAAAATCTCAAATTCAGTGAAAAGAGGTAGGGTAAATTTGAACCACTACTAACAAGAAACAATTGTGATTTAACAAAGGAAGCGTGAGTGAATAATAATAATAATAATAAAAAGAAACAGTGCAGATCTGAACTTCGTACTGGATACAACCACAAATGTTAAGCAAACAAATGAAGGACGGCAAACTCTATGAAATAATAATAGCTGTTCCCTCCAATATATAGGACGGCTCACGTGTCAATCCTACAGAACTCATGCAAGTTATGGCTCTATGAACAAGAATATCACTCAGGTCATGTCATACTCTATTCAATATAGGTAAGAAACCATGTGAAGTAGACCAATAACAATAAGCTCAGGGGTCAGCTACAGGAGAAGTTCATCAGAAAGGATGATAAGACACAATCTATTAAGTCCAAAAATTCCTACCACTTTCATCTTCTAACATTTTATGATGCAATCTAAAAATTACACAGGGCAAGAGTAGAGTGTCAATTTGATAAATTTACACCACTGACACATCTAGTCTCAAACATATATATACAAACAAAATTTTTTTAATCCAAAAATTTCATATTGGTTGAATCTAACAGTATAATTAAAAATTTAAATTTTAATTTAATTGATTTATATAATTATTTTTAATATGTAACACTCATAAATTTAAAATTCAAATTCTAAGTAATACTTATAACATTTTCCTCTATTCTAAACTACAGTCTCTTTATAAAAAGAGACTGTAAAAGTTTAGACTATATTTCTCGATAGGAATTTAATTGTTTTATTACTCATTTTTCCTGGATAAAGTTTTGTTATAATGATAAAGTACACAGGCAAGATTCGAATATTATCAGCTTAATTTCACCTCTCTAATTTCAGGAAATGAATTTACACACCATTCTTTTTTCATTCCATATGAGACATAAAAATCAATTATTTTTAGCCAATATTTACAATAAGACTAGTTCTTTTCATTTCCCAAAATATTGAACTAAATTCTAAAAATGATTAATTAATTTGAAGTGGGAACACAATTCTTTGTAAGCAGCTTTTAGGTTTGTTAAATGCTAAAAATCAAAGATATCACGATCTGAAACTTCAATCCAATCATTCCAGTAAAAATTAGCGCTCAAGGAACTCAAGGTTTCAATGCTGCAGGAAACTGAAAGCACCTTATTATCTGTACGTTTGTGAAGAAAAAAAGAAATGAAACTCAATCTAATTAAATGAGAAGATGATGAAAAATCAGTAAGCTAACAACAACAAAAAAGGACACATTGATTTGGATAAGATGGATATCCCTATAAAATAGGCCAAGATCAAATATCATCTTCATTCTTCACTCAAATGGAGTGTCGTCTCCACCACTGATTACTTTTTACTATTAGCATCCAGCTATGATAAGTCGCTGGGACCAGAAGCAATCTACAGATAATTGCCTCAAGAATCCCTTGCATCTAGTCCTTTACTGCTACAATGCTATCATTTTTTTTAATAGCATCATTCTCTGTACTCTCCTTACACTTAGCAAGCCTTAAATCAGGCAACCATACTTTTTGGACCAAGGAAGAGCAAAAAGAAAGAAAGCATTTCCTACAACTTTTCAAGAATAAGTTAGTAAAGTAACAAAAATGGTCCCGCGTTAAGTTCCTAATTAATCAATTGAATCAAGATTGTTCAATATCGGGAGGTATTCTTTTAACAAAAAAATTCAATCCAAGACTTTGAATGTAAAAGTTTTCTCGGATTTCAATAGTGGCTTAGTTTAATTCAAACGGATGATCTTCTTGTAAAGGGTTTGAACCCAAACAGAAAATTAACTGGGTATTGGCTAATGGCTTAAAGGATAGCAACAACTCTAAAACAGTTTTTGCAATGACGAAATGTCTAAAAAATAGAAATCTACAGATCTTTTAGCTCTTAGCAAAGGTAAATGCAATCTTTACAATTCTTACTATAACCAGACTAAAGCAGGGGCATGTTGGCTTCATAAGATAGATGCTTTAAAAAATGTGCGGCACCAAACACGTGGCACACATATGATTATCAATATGCTATTTACATGATTAGCTTCGCAGAAGCACCAAGTACCAGTGGCAATGCTTGATAAGTAGGAAGTTTCGTGCTGTAATTTTATCACTTCTTGTTCTCTTAGCATCTATATATCAAAATAAGTCATATATGAACCAAATTGACATTAAACTTAATCAATTACTTTTCCACTTGATTATCTATGTACTAGCCTGGACCTGGACTAGAAAGTCAAACTTAAATAAGAATAACAAACTAGTTGTGATTCTTTTCTTTCTTTTTTCCAAAAGTGGCACACATAATGGGGTACAGAAAGTAGTAAGGATGAAAATGTTGGATACTGAGAGAATGACTTACAGTTCGCACATGCTTCCAATGTCTCCAAGTGATGAGGGAATATCTCCAATGAGATGAATGTCTTGCAAATGCCTTTAACAAAAAGAAAAGCATATTAGATGTAGTTTTCATAAAAAGCTATAAGACAATTCTATGTCAATGCCCATGTACCTTTGTACAAACCATTTAAGCTGCCAAATGAATCAAAGAGCAAAAAGCACAAGGTCCATACTAGTCAGGTTCCTGTAAACAAACGAAAATAAAGTTAAGCTGTTTGAGCAACAGTAAATGATACATAGACGGCAAATAACTGCATCTTAACCAACTCACAAAGTAACCACCTCAGAGCATGTAACTCCAGTCCATGAGTAATTAAGGGGCAGGCAAGGATCACCATTCCATTAATGTGGAAGGCTCCGCAAACTGTTTAAATAAACACTAAGAAGAATGAATAATTAAACAGTAATAACTATTATTAGTTTATAGTACATGGATGTAAAGGTACATAAGATAATAATGCAAGTATCTACCTCCATTTTGACCTGAATATTCATTCTCAATCAAGAAGGATGCAGTAAAACCAGCAACAAACAATCATGGAAAATCAGTTTGAGTGTTCTCCATAGAAACAGATTCAATTTGATTTACAGGAGGTAGAAATCATTAGCAACCATACCTTCCCTTGTATGAGTTCTTCCTCCGAGGTGATGCACATCAAAACTCTCCCCTGCATTGGTCAAAGGACTAATATTTGAATTGGCACTAGTTCTCAAAGTTATCCTTGTAGGACCATCAAGAGGCCACCTGGTTGCAAAGATGGTAGCTTCTTCTGAAGTCACATTCAAATTGCCATAATACCTTACGTCATTTATGTGTATGTCAAGCACCCTTGAGCTTGATAGCATTTAGTAACTATTTTCTGCAAAATATAGAGCAACGTAATAAGTCGAGTTTGGAAATGACAAAGGGAGCCAACTCAACTTCAGGGGTCCCAGTTAGACTGTTGAAAGTGCTCTTTCAAATACTTTTGAAGGGGGTATATTCCAGAACCCAGAAAGAGGTGGTGTCTTATTGCTAGCTACAACAGAAACATTTTCTTCATATGGCTCACAACATCGATGGATTTGGTCATCAGGGTCGTACAAAAAACATTCATATTCAGCAAAATCAGAGAAAGCATCTGCAACAAACAACTTCAGCTTCAAAATTAAAAAAAATTTCAAAGTGAGAACTTCAACTTCAAAATATGACTCACTTTCTTTCACAAAAATAGTAAAGATTGGAATGTAACATCTGAGTTTCTAATCCGAAAAAAAAAATCTGAGCCATTTGGTTATGGTTTAACTGCTTCTGCTACTTGCTTTTTCTTATGAAAAATAAAAGGCAAAAGCACATATTTACTTTTAAATTTTAAAGCAGAATAAAATTGTTTCAAATAATAAATCGAATGATTTCATTATATATATAACAAGTATGTTAGAATTGATATTACATGTTAAATATTTATTCATTCTTATTCAATTATAACAACTATGCTTTTGTTTTATAAAGTGCAAAACTATTAACAAGCATATAACAGTAGAAGACGTTGACTCCGCCGTAATAGTAAGTTGTCCTGATTAGGTATCTTCCGCCGCCGTAGAAACGTGCCACGTAGCAGAACTAGCGGCGAGATTGTTTTGGAGAGGGAACGATCGGACGGTGGAGAGAGTTGGGACGACGCCGGGTACCGTTAGGTTTTTGAATGTTCCAGTGGGGATGAAATCGTCGTCGGGAAGCCATTCTCGTCCGTCGATCACGGGTTTGCCGGTTGCACTGCAATCAATTAAATATCTTATAAAAAAATAAAAAGAAGAAGTTTCCATTAGAAATGGAAGAGGGTTAGAATACCTTTGGGGGATTGTTGGGAGAGGCAAAGGGAGGAAAGGAATACGAGGAGGGGGGATTACTGACATTAAAGAGTGAAGGATTTGCCCCAGAAGGACTGAAGATGTTTTTCTACTGTTGTTCGGGTTTTGAATTGATGGCAGTTGATTGAGTCGTGTAAGAAAGGAATAGGAGTGAGTGGGGTGGGGGAAGGGAATGAGGTGGAGTGGAGTTTGAAGACCGGAAATTCATTATTATTTTAGGCGGGAACACTTAGGGAACATGTCAGAGATGTCACAACGGTTCGTTTCGATTAATATATTTTATTATAAATTTTTAATAACTATTCTTTTAAAAATCCATGCAATCCAATTCGGTTTTTTTTTAATCAAATTTTTATTGTTATATTTCTATTATTTTATTATGATTTATATATTTGAATAAATTTTATTATATTTTAATAAATTAATACTGAAAAATAAAATAAATTCAACGTTAAAGAATTTTTTTTTTAACAAAATATATTTTTTGAATTAATTAATTTCTAAAACTAATATTATTAAATTTATATTGAGTCCAAAATTAAAAATTCACTTTAAAAATAATAATTGAATTTTTATTTAAATTTAAATAAATAATTTTAGAGATAGTTTTAATTTGAAAATTATAAAAATATAAAAAAATTGTTGTTTATATTTTTTTAATTTTATAAAAAAAATTGTTAATGTTGAAATTTTGTATTTTTTATATAAACATTAAGATCAAATTTTTAAAACAAATTTTTTAAAATATTTTTCAAATCACATATCACTTTAAAAAATATATTATTTATTTAATACCAAAAATAATAAAATTTAAAAATATATACTAAAAAAATTCATGTTCAAAATCTTAATAAATTTATTTAATTAAATATTTATCATTTCAAAATAAAAATCAATTCAAAACTTACAATACAAACAAACACTTATTCAACGAAATAAAGCTGTAATTTATATTGTGGTTATACGTTTTTGGCCCTTGTAGAGACTGGCAAAACATTCAATCAGCCAAACCAAAAAAAAAAAAAAATCAGAGATTCGTGCTTTCACATTTCAATATATGCATTCAATAGAACAAACAGTGTCTGAAAATATTTAAGTAGCTAAATCAAAAATGTAAAGGAACACTTTTCTAAGTTGTGTAACAGTTAAAAAATCATTAAAAGGATAATGTTTTTCAGCTATCTAATTACAATGAAACTATACCAAACAACAGTTTAATATCCCTTTTAAAATATACTTCACCCTGATAAAGAATCTTGTAAGAACATGTAATTTGGAAGTAAATTTGTCTACATACTAACAAAACATAAACCAAAGAAAGCATTAAGTTCATATTCAGCTATTCAATGGAGATATATAATTAAAAATGTGTAATGCTTGATTCATTAAGGTGGGAGCTCCGGGAATCAAAATTCAAACAAATTTAAAACCATTAACAAAGCAGCTTTTGTGTAATAAAGGAAGGCAGTAGGACAATTTATTTATAAAAAAAGGGAAGTGAAGGTAAAAAACTTATATAAAAACAGCTTTCTAAATTAATTGCTTAAACCGAATTACACTATTTCAACAATGAAATTCTTTTAAAAAACAACACCGTATCGAAAATTAAACTCAATTTAAGTATAGAATGTAATCATTCTGAACGATATCCACAAAGTTTTTAATTTGAAAGTTATATTCATAAGAAATTTCCTGCTTTTTCCTTTCAAGTTGAAAGGAAACGATTGTATAAACAATTTTTTAAATTTGCTTGTTAAACTTAGAACCAAGTTGCTTGCATAATAAATTCAACAACTGAACAACAAATAAGTAGAAAAAGTTGTTGCATATATATCTGTAATTGAAGATGAATGTTTCAGTCCATTGGCAAATAAAGCGCATAATAGAATTCTTTTAAATCCTACGATTAAGAAAAGAATTGGTAAACTTTAAACAGAAATTGCTTTCATGTAAAATTTGACGAATAGTTATCAAATAAATTGAAAGATTTGTTTAATATATGGCTATAATTGCAGGCGTATGTTTCAATCTTTTCGCAAGCCGCATAAAACCTTGCTCACTATCCTTGTGTTGAAGGTGTTTATGGTGGTCTTAGCTGGAAGAAAAAAAGTATGATAAAGGGGAATGACAGTTGTAATCTGCATCAGAAAACATGATCAAGGGGCATCAGAGTTGTTTTTTCGGGACACACTTTGACACTTTATTCTATGTGGTACCTAAGGTAAGAGTAAGAAGCTAGGTAGATAACAATGGCGAAGTTTGTGGCGGAAGTTTCAATAATGAGAGAACCAAGGAAGTGAGATCTTGGTTCTGTTCTTTTAATGTTACCTTGTGTCTCTGGTTCTCCTTTCATCTTTTGTGTGAAACAGAAGATCATGATTTGATTAAAATATTTAATAATTAAAAGAATGTTAGTGTGAAATTCAATAAAAAATTACGTAAATAAATGAAAATTACATTTAATAATTTTAAATATGTACTTACAAGTTACATAAAGATGCATGAAGAATCTATTGTTATTTGAAACCAGTCAAAAGTTAAAATAAATTATAAGATTTTGAATCTTACCTTAAATTAAAGTAAACTTCAAATAAAAATTCTTATTGACAAATGATGTAATGCTTACCATATAAGTAAATGTAAATCAAAATATATGCATTTAATTATTTCAGTACTTTCAAAAAACAATCATTGTATAAAAAATAATTAGACTAATGTATTTAAAAGATAAATAGAAAAGCAATTAACTTTGCAAGCTCATTTATCAGAATTTGAAGCAATGGTAAACAAATACCTGTACCTATGAAAGAAAAAGCAAAAACATATTAGGATACTAAGTTGAATCGAGAAGCAAACAATTAAGAAATTGTACACCTCACTAATCTTAAAACCGATGTACCTAGCTAGTTATATAACACTATCTATTACAGATAATAGTTAAAATAAATGATAAAATTGTAACTCACTTTTGACATTGAGAATTTGCTTTAGCAAAAGCTTATGCACTTGTAAATTCAAACATCAATGATAAGTTTGAGAAACTAAAGATAACATAATCAATTATTATTATAGTATCAAGAACTAAAAATAATAAAGGAAGAAAGAATAAAGGAGTTACACCAAAAAACAATGCACCATATGGACACAAAATGATATGTAAGTATGCTTATGTGGCTAGAAAATTTGAAACAAATTTAATCAGTAAAAAAAATTAACATGAAACATTTAATTTCCCCTAAATCCAAAAAAAAAAAAAAAGACCAAAACCCTAAACTAGGACCACATCACAAAATCCAAACACACAGTCCAACATGCATGCAAAGATTGACCACAAGGAAATGTTGTATCCAAATACAAAAGATATACGAAAGTGAAGTGCTATGCCTACATAAACACCTAATCAATAAAAAAGCATTTTAAATAAAAAAATTCACCATTTCCAACACTACTATAAACCAAAACTAGAGAATAAAAAAATCAACATACTTTAAAAAAAATTTTAACCCCTAATCAATTCTCACTTTTCTCCATAAAATTGAATCCAAATACTCCATAAATCTCCTTCTGCCAATCGAATCTCCTCATATCAGTCGATGCCCTTGACTTGTCTTATTCTAGTGAAGAAACCCAGTACTTTGATTAGATAATATAATCGAATCTAACCTAAAACTTTTTAGTTTAACGTCTTTTCCATCACTTTCTTGTTTGATTCTCTATAGAACAATTCAAATTGTCATACAAATAGAAGAACAATTTAGAGGGTCGAATTGGGGTTTTTTTACAATTTTGACTTTTGGATTTTTTTTATTGATTTAGGGTTATTTTGCTTGGGTTTAAAGTTAAATATTTTCTAACCTCATAAGCCACATAAGTATGCTTACATGTCATTTTGTGTTTACATGGAACATTATTATTGGCTAAAATATCCATTTCAACATCAAGACTAATGGAGTTAACTCTTGGATCAAATTGATACTTGATTTCATAATTTAGGTACCTATTTAGCAACTTTTTTAGTTTAGGTACCAAATTTAACAAACCACTACAGTTCAAGGGCCATTTAGGACATTATCCCTTAATTTTATATATAACACAAAATTATAATATTGAATTTTTACATTGTTAAACATTTTTACACAGATGGCGTAGCACTTACCTTGCTTAACTCTACCAATCCATTGAACGGATCCAACACAAAAGATCAAGTCCATTGATTACTTGACTTAAGGCTCACTGACCATACATTTAAGATGGGCATATCTGTAGCCCTGTTCTAACTCAGATGGTCCCCTAACCATATCTAACATAGCATATAAGGCCATTTCTCTTAGCCAATATTAATATGGTCCTCTGAATGTATAACTTTATGGTACGTTGACCATCACTGCTTATGATCCATTGAC